TTTTATGATATTTTCTTCTCTCAAAGTCTTTTTTCTCCTAAAGTTACATTTTAAAATTTGATGTTATATTTAATTTTTGTTTATAACATATATGGCATAATTTTCCACTATGTACGTTTATATCCGTAAATTATGCATCTTATTTTAATACATAATTTAAAATTAAAACAAATGGTATCACTTGATATATAGCTTTTGCAACTAGCTTTAGTTTGCGTATGTCATATGTGAGGTTCATCCAAAATTAATACATTTATACTCTGTGCTGTGCAAGAATAAACCACACTTAAGTTACTTAAGTAATATTATCTGGTGTAAGCAACAGGAATAGGCTGGAATAGAGACAAGTGAAACTCTTTAAGATGATTTAAAAGCACAAAATGAAAGTGACTACCAAATCAAATTAATAAAAGGAAACAAGTAAATCTGATAAATTAGCCATTCAGCAAAGTGATGCATAGTCCAGAATCTCAGTAAGAAGAAAAATAAGCTGTGGCAGCAAAAGTAAGTCCATCCTGTAATGTATCAATCTGCTTAGGCAGCCAAAACAGGACCAGGTGGCTTAGAACGCAGACATTGGGTTTCTCGGCACTGGAGGTGAGAGCCTAACACACAGGTGCCTCTGGATGGTGACCTGGTGAGGCCTGTTTTCCTGGATTACACAGGATAGCTGTCTCACTGTGTCCTTGTCTGGATTGTGTGCATAGAGAGCAAGAGAGAACATTTGCTTCTGCTAAGGACACCAGGCTGTCATATGAGGGCTCTACCTTATCACCTCATTTAACATTGATTACTTCCTGGAAGGCTCTACCTCCAAATACAGTGACTTAGGAGGTTTGGACTTCACCATATGAGCTTGAGTGTGACACAACTGAGTCTATAATCACCCAGATCTTACACATTCCTTATCTATATCTATTGCTATACAACACCACACAAAAGCAACTGCAGTGTCAGTGCTTTCAGTAACAAATATTTATTTTTCATACTCATGGGATTGTGGGTATTTGGGTGAAGATGATCTCAGCTACTGCTGGCTGGGCTTAGAGCCAGGCCGTAGGTCAGGATGAGGCCCACATATCTCATTTTGGAGGGCAGACTAATAGGGCAAAGGGTACTGAGGGCATATTCTTCTTCATGACGGCAGAAGCACAAGGGCACAAAATCCAGCCACACGAGCACTTTTGAAGCCTCAGCTTGCATTATGTTACCAATATCCCATTAGCAAAAATAAGTCCCTGGGTCAAGTCTAGAGTCAAGGGGCAAAGAAATCCACTTTACCCATCCATGGAGCCAGGCTAAGGATGCCCATCTATAGCAATACTGTAGCACAGTGACAAACAGAAGCACTAATTCAGTCACAGCATATATGCACCCTGGAGCTCTGACTGGGATGAGTTTGAAGTGGTATTAAGGTTATTCATTTTCTGCCATGGCTCTGGTGGGATGTGAGCAGTAACTACTGATGCCGCAGCCATGGCCAAAGTCACCGTTTCTCCATGGCTGTGATTTGATCGTCTTATGTTCCCCTTCGGTCTCTTCTTTGGTTTTTGATCCCTATATTTTGAGTGCTCAAATTAATTTGACTTTCATTCTAGGAGCTCTGAGCTAACTGAGAAATATCCTGAGAGTCATGATATGAATTTAGTAACAGCTTTAGCTCTACTATTGGCTAATTGCCCTGGACCCAAGACTAGAGTTACCTTTTCCTTCTGTATTTGAACTTTTCTACCTAGTCCACAATATGATTCCTGGAGAGCTCTCTGCAGGTGTCCTTTGCTAACTGTGTGAGAAGAAGGAAAGCTAGTCAGAATTACTTGAGCATGTAAGATTGGGGTTAGAGTTGTGTCTATGCTGAGTAGTCTTCGCAAAGGCCTTGAGACAGGGACAGGCTCCAGGCGTTGAAGGATTCACTATCCAGGTGATTACTTAATACTAAAGGCCTTTGTCAATTTAGACTGAAGAGAAGCAGGTCCTGAGGGAATCTTAGAATTGGCCACAAACATAAAAGAAAGGAAGATCTGATGGTTAGGATAGATATATAGCTGCATTCTCTTAATTCAAGGAATAGAGGGATTTGTTCTAATAGTGTTTGTAAATAGGATATCATTTCTGCATCTTGTACAACAAACAACCACTAGGATGGCAGTATGCAGTGTGTTAATTATTAGAACTGTCCTACCAATTTGATTTGAAACTGTCTCATTGCTATTTATTTCTCAATACAATTATGGAAAAAATAAAATAAAAAAGAAAAGAAGATTGTACTCTATTAATTTACTTGCTCTTTCATTATTTATTAAATGCTATCTGTGTGAGCCATATTGTTCTCTGGGTTGGGGATATGAGAGCAGACAAAATAGCCATACCCCTGCCTGTATAAACATTATCTTTATGCTGAGGCATAGACAATAAAATAAATAAGCAAGATTTATGAGATGACAGAAGGTAATAAGCCAATAAGGGGGGGAGGAAAGGAAAGAGAGTTAAGGTGTGCTGGTAGGTGGAGGAGTGGAGGAATTTCAGAAAGGATGACCGGGGTGGGTGATATTTAAGCAAACATCAGGTGAGAGTGTTCTGCCCAATGATGTCCCCAGTAAATGCACAGACTTGCCATGGTCAAGGGTCAAGAGACAAGGGTTAAGGAGAGCAAGGAAGTCAGTGTAGGAGAGTGGGAGAAGAGACCAGGCAGCTACTGGGGTGGAGGTAACAGAAGAAAAAGGGAGCTTAGCTTGGACTATGGCCAGGTGTGTAATCAGAGACATGGGGGGGGGGTCACTGGAGCATTCTGAATATACGACAGACATGGTCTGATTCATCTTTCCAGTGGCCTACCATGTTCAGTACAGAAAGGAGAGAGGAAAAGGACACAATTCTATGTGATCCTGGAAAAATAGATTCAGTTATAGAAGAGGCTGACTTCTCTAATTAGCAAACTAACTTTCCCTAACTAACTGGCTGTGTACCAGTGAAACTGGTACTTAAGTCACATTAGAGTTACACTCAGCAACTTACCCCTAGTGGCCCCAGTAGATGTCAGGGATGTTGACACTGAGAAATTAATGCATCAGACCCCGGGACATCCCTGAGTCCTTCCCATGTATAGACAGTTTCTCATTCTACAACAAAACCCACCTCCATCTCTTCCAGCTAGAGTTTGAGCTCCTTGGGTCCAGGGAGTTGATTTTGTGCATCGCTCAATTCCTGTGCCTAGAATACTGCTGGCAGATAGCAAGCGATCAGTAGGTAGCAGTTGAATGCCCGAAGGTCTCTGTTGAACTGAGTGCAAGACCTTGAGCAAGACGCTTCTCTGTACCTCATAGAATACAAACTGGGAATGGACAGCGTTGATGACCTTGCTAAGCTGGCCAGTCTGTGATCCCATCATTTCTAAAGGGCCTTGCAGGCCAAGGGATGCATGGACAGTGAGTCTCATCTGGAGAAGGGAAGGGACGGATAAGGGGGAAACCTGGGCCATAGAGAAGTACATGGGTAATCTCTGGCACTGGGGACCAGCACCTTCTCAATATAAAACTGATTGTTTTTTTTTTTGTTATTGTTTTGCATAGGGCTCATGCATAGGGCTCAAATTCCAAGGAAGGAATGCTTCATTAGAAGCAGTGTATACAAAATACTGAGAATTCATCCCAAACTCGTCACCTTTGCTTCAAATGAATCAGTGTGGTCAACAGTGTTCATAGTCCCCTAAAGGACTCCTGGGAAAAACGGCATGAATAGCAGCACAGATTCTATTTAAGGGTATTGAAAATACATCTTTAATTTTGATGAAATTCACAAATGACAACATTGACATTTCTTTAAATAGATGTTCCGTCAAGCCGCAGCATTACCACGTGTCCCCAGACACTCAAGAGGCGGCGATTTGATGTCCCCCTGAGGTTTGGCAGAGTTGCCAACATCACAAGATAGCTAAGGGGGACCATATTTGCCACCTAATAGACCTATGAGACATGCTGTCATGTTTACTGGAGACAATTAAATATAAAACGATGCACGATAGGTAACTGCGATGAGCTTATTCTGCATTTAGCTTTAGTTCTTTTCAAATGAAAAAGATAGTTTCTGTATCAAGAAATATGCAAATATGAATGTCTTCCACAGAGCCTTCCCTACACATTGCCTTCATCACACATGAAAAGAAGTGGCTTCAATGCAACCTAGGAAAGGAAAAAAAAAAGAGCTAGAGTTCAGTCATTGTCATGCTCTTGACACCTGTCCCTTCCTTTACTTGTCTTATATATGCCTTGAGGTAAGTACTATAAAAGCCTTCAATTCACAGAAGGAGAAACTGAGGTTCAGAGAGACATGAATGGCTGGCCTATGGTTATACAGCTAGTAGAGACCAACCATCGACAGTTCTTAAAGCCAAGACCCTGCTCTTCATTCAGAAGTAAGTGACATTGTAATATATTACTCCAAAAGGATAATGTCCTTTCCTTTCTTTTAATTTTTCAAAAAATAATTGATTAATTAATTAATTGGTACAGGATCTCACTACACAGTTTGGACTTGCAGCGATCCTCTTGTCTCAACCTCCCCAGCGCTGGGATTATAGGCATGCACCCCCATGCCTGGTCTTGGTGGCCAGCACGGCATGGCACAGTAGGCAGTCCCAGAGATTGAACCTGGGTTCTTGCACTTGCCACACAGGTGCTTAGACTGCTGAGCTATCTCCCCAACCCTGTCCTTCCCTTTCAAACCCCAAAAGGTCTGTATTTTCTGTCCTGATGAACACAGTGTCACAAGAAATGAATGGAAATCCATATAGGAGATGAATTCAATTCTAGGGTTTCAGCTACTGGCTCTTCTCAGAGTCCATTCTTTAGTTACAGATGTGGGTACTGTTCTGTGTGGACCTCGTCAGCCCTGTGGGCCCCAGAGGCTCAAAGTATGGGCTGCATCCTGCACCATGTGCTCATTCCTCCTCCTGCATCACAGTACAGGCACTCACTCACCTGCTTCCTGAGCTGGAGAGCTACTCAGGCCTGAAGATCCCTGCGGCGCCGGCCAAAGGTTTTGGAGCCCACGTTGGTGGGCACGAAGTTGTCCTTCACCACACCCCCTGACCTGCTCAGCAAGCCTGCCAGCCGCTGGGTCACACAGGTGGCCGTGTTGCAGGATCTCTTCTGGGTGGTGATGCTGGTTTGCAGGATTAGAGAAAGAGAGCATATCTGTGAGGAGCCTGCCCCATGGGACCATCCTGGTCAACTTGCTGCTCTGAGTGATATCCGTTAACCTCAAGTGTCTCCTAGACATATTTATCAGAGCAGAAAAATGGTAAGGCCACTAAGGAAAACATTGTGATCATGACCCACAGACACCCCCATATACATGGGGGTGTTAGGTAGGACCGGCCATAGAATACAGGGCTGTAATAGCCAATCTTTCCTATATAAATATGCTAAAAATTAGCAAAGAGTTACTAGAATGGATAATGGCACCACACTTAAGCCCATTCACATGGCTTATGGAATCCACAGCCTGGTCATATGCATAAGGTACTCCTTCATAAGAAAATGAAAATTCTTTCTCTTACTTACCCAGAAGAACAGCAGAACTTGCAGCATCCGGCCCAGACGTGCTTACCTGCTGAGGTCCTATGTATAGGCGCCCAGCATCCAGGAGCCTCTCTCTGGCAGCCCTTTTCTTTCTGCTTGTGACTGGTCATGGAGGCCACTCACCTGTGTCCAGCTATTCTGGGGCTAAGGCTACTTCCAAGCACAGATCCTAAACACCAGGCAGCCTGAGATATGCGCTACAGCAACAACCACCACAGCTCAGGTCTCTTTGGAAAAATAATTTTATTCCCGAAATGACCAGCACAGTCTGAAGTAGGATTGAGAAACTGCTAAGGAACCCTCAGGGACCTCAGAAGGCTGCCCTTGCGCTCTCATATCGTCCTGGAAGATATCTTTTGGCCTCTGAATCCTCCTCTCTCTCTGCCCATCTGAGGTTCCAGACATTCTCTACTAGAGGAAAGCCACCAATAACAGCCCGAAGAGCAACCAGAGAGGAACCACGTGCCTCAAGTTATAGGAAGAAAGCACGAAAAGAAATTAGGAATTTAGTTGTCTTCCGGAGGCATGCCCACAAGGGGGCGCTGGTGTGTCTCCAAGTTTTTCGTCATATCCCTTTTCTTGCCGGGAGCTCCAACCCCAATGGCAGTTTGGGGGAACGTGTGAAACTTGTTGAGGTCTTGTGTGTAGGTGCCCAGCATGCAGGTACTCAGATTACCACATCGCTTAGCTCTGGGGCTGTCCAGGCTGCAGGGAAAAGACATGCCAAACAGTACCGGGTTCAGCGTCTGCCCTGTGGGGACTCAGCAGGTTAGACCAGGCCGGAAAGAGGGAGAGGAGGTGCAGTAGGAGTGAGGCTTGCAGATTCTCCACAGGGGCCCAGGATGATGGGAACGGAGGGTGACCTCTGGCATCCTACATGCGGTTGAGTTATTCATGCTTAATGGGGACTCTAGCGGTGAGTGCGGGTTGGCTCATGCCTCCACTTGGTTAGCGCAGGGCCAGACTGGGGCCCCTCCCAGCCTCAGGGTCCACAGGGAGCCTGGGCAGGGGAAGGATGCTCTCTCTGGTCTTGTGACAACGTGCACATCTCCACAGATGTTCCAGGTCTACCCCAGACACTGCCCTACCTGTCCTCAACCCCTGCAAGCCTTTCAACTTCACTGTACAAATATAAAATTCAGGCTCCTTATGAAAGAACATAACATGCAGATGAACAAGATAGAGCCACAATTCTAAAATCTCTTGAGATGCGCCAGGCAAGTCTCAGGGCTTCAGACGTTATCCTTACCAGTCTTCACTCATCCGATGATGGGAGGTCTTCCTACTATCACAAGATCGATTCCCACTGTAAGCGATTCTACACCTTCACTGACTACTTTCAGCAATGGATCTGTTAAGAGTAATCTAACCAGAGTCTCTCCTGCTGATCCTCATCTTCAGTATAGCCTGAGGAGTGCTGGGTGCCTTGTCTTCATGTACATACAGCACAGCTTGCCAGGCTTTTGGCCTGTGAGTTCCCTCCTACCTCTTGAGATTCGCCTTCCTATGGATTTGGGAGCTGGAACCAGAGGGGAAGCCATGGACTGGCCAGTTGGGAACCTTACCTGGAGCTTTCTGTCTCCTGCTCCTGCTCCAGCTCACTGGCCTTCATCTGCATGTAGTCCTGCACCAGTGCGGCCAGCAGGAGGCGCGCTTCCTCCTCGCTGAGTGTGGCCAGGTCTGGGCTGCTCTCCAAGTCTGGCCTGATTGGGAGAGTGAAGCCAGTGTGGTCTCTCAGTCCCTGGATCCTTCTCCCCAGGAGAAGCGGCCAGGCATCCTGGTCCCTGCTTCTTCCCTGGAGGATGTGGCCGCCTTAACTCCCAAGGGACAAGGCTTGAGACTAATGTCCTACTGGAGGCCAGGCACTGGTGTGGCCTCTCAGCATTGGTGTTAGTCTGGAGTCAGTGCATACAGACTTACAAAACCTACCAGTTAACATTTTAGAAATTTTGTGGTCTGTGTTAGGTGTAGCCATTATTAAAATTTAAATGATAAAACTTACAATTAGCATTGCACCTAAATAAGGTTTTAATTTCATAAATATAGTTAGTATATGGGTGAGAAAAAAGTCCAACACGTTACATATCAGATTTGATAACATTTTTTGTGGTAAACTAGTGAGAGATTAGGATGTAATTCATTTCTCAAATCATAGCTGATTGCCAACTAGGTAAATTATTTATACAAAAGTTGGATGAAGAGCAGCAAAAGCATTTTTCTAGAGTCAGCTGGGCCCATGGAATTCATAACATAGAGTGTTGTATATCAGGGTATTAAAAATTTTCACTATATTATTATTATTATTACACCAGAAAAAGTTTGCAGTGAACTTATATGGATGATGGATGCAGACACACACACACACACACACACACACACACACACACACACACACCCAGCGGAGTGACCCTCCTGGCTTCAAGTTGTGCTACCTGAATGGCACTGCGTGCAGGCTGCCAGAGAGGTACAGAACTAAGATGTTGAGAGCCAGAAAAGGGGAGAACTTCCGGAAGCCCATGACGTCTCCCTGCAAGGGAAGAATGACATCATCTCAGGCACCAGCTCAAAATTTTGTGAGGTCAGAGACCTGGCCTTCTGTCTCCTTCTTCTGTCTGGCTCTAACTTCTCAATTTTGTGGCTTCAGATATTTACCTTCATCTTCGCTTGCTCATCTGCAAAGTGGACCATCAGAAGACCCAGTAGGGATGTCGCTCACATAGCTTGCAAGAGGGAGTATTGGGAGGAAGCTATCTGAGAGGGGCAAGAATTCTGTCTTCCCCTCTCCAAATGCTACATAAACCTGTTGGTCAAGTCTGAGGATTCCCTAAGAGCCCCCTGCCACAATAACAGCTCCCATAAGGAAACCCAGGACTGTGCTCCTGTGCCAGTCGAATACACCCAGCGGTGGGGAATGAGAGGGAGGCTAGAGAGCCCCTCATTTCCACAGCTGTAATCTGAGAAACGGAAGGACCATTTCTAGTGCTCAGCTGCCCTCCCTCCTGGAGACTCTGTTGCTTGCAAGAGCCAACCTTAGGCTGAAGTTGGGTCCGCAGAGTCTTCTCTACTCCAGAGCCCTGAGTGGGGCTTGGGTTTAGGGTGCCTGAGGTTCAACCGCGGCGCTCATTTGTCCCCCACCCCTCGCGCTGCCCAAGGCTCTGAGCCGGTTTCGCTAGGAACGGGAGCCACGGACCGCGATTTCCGAAGGCACCTTCTGCGGCAACCTCCTCCCGCAGCCTCCAGTTAGCGCCGAGAGGCCGGAGAGTGACAGCCGAGGAACTGGGAGAGCAGAGCAGGGAAATCCCCGAGAGACTCTATCCGACCCTACCCGGGTGGGAGCCCTGGGATACGCTGCAGACTAACAGAGACCCTGACCAAGAGATGGAGAGCGAAGTGGACCGAGAGACAGAGGAAGAGGGAAATACACAGACAGATGAGAGATGCGCGCGAGAGGGCGGGGAGAGAGGAACACACCTGAGCCGAGATCGCGGGCTCACCTGGCCGGCGGTGCTGGGAGTAGAGGCGCGGGGAGCCAGAGCCCTTCGGGAGTCCAGGCGACGCTCGGGCTGGGCAGCGTCCGGGTGACTCTCTGCGCCGGCAGCTGCTCTTATTCCAGCCGCCGCCGTGGGTCGGGAGGGGTCCCCAGCGCCGGCAGCCAATGGGCAGAGGGGGCCCGGGCCCCAGCCGGACTGCGTCACGCCCGTGCTTCCAGAACCCGCGGCGTGAATCACAACGGTCCTTCTTATGTTTGCGTTGAGGTCACGGAGGGAAGTGGGAGGATGGGGCGACCAACGAGAAAAGCCCGTAAATGAGGCAGGACTTTGAGGACAGCTTAAAGTCACGGTCGATTTCACCTCTTCCATCCGGCTTGGCTTTGCACCTTGGCCTACGCCAACCCCAGCTGTGCAATCTGAATGGGGGTGGGGGGATCCGGCTTCTGCCTCGCTCGGCGCTGACCCCAGACCCTTGCCCAAGTGAAGCCTGGAGGTTAGGAGAGCGGCGTGCAGTCCCTGGGTGCACAGTGCTGGACTCTACAGCTGGGATCACCCACCGCGGGGTCAGGGTCCTCGGAAGCGGGAGATGCGACGCAAACTTAACGTTCTGAGATGGGAGCTCACTTCCAGCTGCGCCAGTCCGGCTCTGTGCCGGAGGCAAGCAACTTCACAGACCCTCAGCGCCTTTATCTATGGAACAACGACGTGAGAGCCATCCCTGCCATCAGGCAGAGATCTAGAAATCTCTTCTAGGATCTCTAGTGATACTTTCTGAATCCCTAACTGCACGCACCGCCATTTGGGCAGTCACTGGAGGCTGCTTGGTCCATTACCTGTGTGTGCAGGGGTCTGATGCCCAGGTGGGCCTGAGGAATGAGGTGCGCGGGAAAGAGGTTTCCAAAGCCTCCATCTCGACCCCTACTTCTCCCCCTCCCTCCACCATCGATCATCTCTCATTAGTCAGCCTGCCCGAGGCGTTTGCACAGCTGTCCCTCTGCTGCCTGCTGCTGTTTGCCAAGGTGTCCCCGTGGCTTTTGATTCTGGCTAGCTCCCCACTCCTGCACTTAGGTGCTCCACTAAAAGCAGGCAGCCTTGACAGCCCCTGAGGTCTCTGCTGGTCGTAAGCTCACTCACTTTCAGTCACCTTCGTCCCCACAGAGGCTCCTCGCGGTCTCAAACATGAGTCCACACCTGCCTGGAAGCACAGATGCCCCGGGGCGCTGGCACACAGAGGTTTCCTTAGAGGTGCCCTCCCAGAAGTGTCCCAAGCCTGCGGGCTAGACCCTCCAGAGGCATCCACTCCCCGCAGGATGGTGATCTTTGTATCTCACACTCCTTCACGACTGCGGGGGGTGGGGGGAAGGCAACCGGTTCCGCACGACCTCCCTCCTGTTCACGTTCAGCCCACGGCTCTGGAGACCGGTCGGCCTGCGGTTCCGACCGGGTATTTCCTGCCTGCTGTTGCAAAGCCAGGGACCGCGAAGCTTCTTGGCTTCCCCGGGATCCGCAGTCTGAGCGCGCACTGCGCGATCCGCTTCAGCCTCTCAAGTCGCCCACAGCTCTGTATGCGCCGCAGCAGCAGCTGGGGACCCAGGGACGGTTTGCAAGGACTCAGGCTTCCTGCGTTTCTCCCAGGCAAAGCAAAAATTATCACCCAAAAGTGCTCATGTGGCCAGAGCCACGGGGAGTTGGAGGTTTCCCTTGGGTTCCATCCGCTCCTCAACCTCTAGGAAGGCTGCATTTCCTAGGGGACACCTGCCTCCGCCATCAGGGAGGCCTGGAGGGATGGTGGCTCTAGGAGGCAGCATCACACGTCTAATGCAGTTGGGTGAGCTTCCTCCTCACCGTCTGGGAAGTACTACCACGAGGAAATCAAAAGTCGAGAGTGGACCTGGTGTCTGAGGTGCCCTCTTTGCAGAGCCCGCCAGCTGGAAGCGGTTAGACCTGGGGCTGGAACAATTCGAAGGGGAAGATAGCGGCGTGGGCCCGGCGCAGACCCTGGTGCTACCGTGCGAGTGGGGCAGGATGCAGAGTGTGGGATTTCCAGGACCCTGTGCCGGGTTTTCGGGCTTTCAGCCGATTACTTTCGATCCCTGGCCTGAGTTTTCTTGCGAGCCAGCGCGATGAGTTGCCGAAGGCTGAGGTGCTGCCACTACGCGGCGCGCAGCGCTAGACTTGGGGGCAACAGTAGAAAGCGACGCGCGCTCAGGTGTCAAACACTTCTGCCGAAAGGACTTCCTCTTTCGGTCCACCAATTTCTTACATAAGAATTTCTGAAAGCGTTCGTAAGTATGCGTGTCCTAGAGGTCTGTTTTCCCAAGAAAACTCAGAGCTTCACCCCTGCCACGGTGGCCGCAAAATGGTTAGCAAGCCACCGCTCTGGAAGCACATCTCGTGGCCGGCTCACTTTCCGAGTTCGGAACTCTGCTGCAGGTTGCCGCAGACACCAATTTCTTAATGTGCGATTTCAAGCAGCAACAAACCCCAGGCTGGAGCCAACGGGAGCCCGCACCCAGAGGGCGCGCGAGTACCCGCGAGCAAATTCAAGCCGTACTTTAAAAATCAGTCTGCCCAGAAAGGGAAGGACGAGATTACCCCTCAGGTCGCTCTGAGGCAGTAGGACAAAGCAAACTAATCACTTTATTTTCTTGGTTAATTAGCAGTAGTAGGGCGCTCCACCAAAGTTAGAGGAACGGAAATTAACCCACGCCGGCAGATTCAACCGTCGGTCTCTCAAGGTAGTTTGCAGAAAACTTGCGTTGAATTAAAGCTGTTTTCTGCTGGATTCCGAGATTAGGGGTGCAAAGTGTTGAGGCAGTTTTCTCCCACTTTATCTGATTCCTAGGACTGAGGCAGAGAAGTCAGTTTTTTTTCGTTTTTCCTCTGGAGTTTGTTCTAAAGACTGGGATTTCCTGGGTGCGAAGAGCAAAGCCATTCTCGGAGTCCATCCCAGTGAATGCAAGAGGGAGACTGTCCTAGACCTTGGGAGTCCTCCTTAGAGAGCTTATTCGCTGTCTTCCTGTCTCTGCATCTTCTCTGAGCTCTAGGAGCAAAGAGAGCAAGACCTATTGGAGTCGCTGAGGAAAATGCTGATTTCAAGAGAATCCCTTGACTAGCCCTTGATTTTACTTTCCTATTTTATAACTTTAAAATCTGGAGATCAAAGTCTGTTTTGAAATAACCTAATTTGGAAAGAAATATTTTTACAACACTCTGATGCATTTCAACTCTAATGTTTACATCCATTCATTTAAATCAAATTCCTGTGCTCCTTGATTTATAGTATAGTAATAGAATATAATAAAAATGAAGATGAAATCTGCCTGAAAATCCTTATGTGAATTTCAATGTGATAAAAAAATTTACACCTAAAAGCTTATTTTTAGTAATTTAGTAAGCCAGTTGTGAAACAAACAATAATCTGAAAGAACAAAGCATTCTCATAGTGCAGAACTTAATTCAAATTTATTGCCTTTATAATAATCTGTGTATGACATAGTCTCAGCAACAATAAAATTACAATGCCAAGTACAAAATATCACAATGCCAAGGGCAGCAGCAGAAATAACACCAACCCCGTTCTCTTCAGCCTGAAGCTGTCCAGTTAGTTGGTGAATGTCTACTGTGAATTGGTTGTACTGTGTAAAGAAGGGGAAAAGCCGAAGCTTTTCATCACTGTGTCTACTGAAGAACGTGGGAAGGAACATGACCACTTCTGAATACTTTTTGCAGTCATGTTTAGAGTCTAATAAAGACTCTAGTCAAAGCCAGCAAGATTCACAGCAGTCCAGATAAGAAAACAATCTAAGTGTCCATATAGACGAGGAAAGAAAAAAATTGATATATATATATATATGAATATTATTCAGTCTTAAAAAGGACATTCTGCCATATTTCCCACTGAGCATGTACAGTACTCAATGACAAAGAACACTGCTGTATTTTCTACTGGAAAAAGTCATGTTGTATGAAATGAATAAGGCGAAGGCAGACAAATAGTGCATCTCCCCCATGGAATCTGAAAAACACAGAATGTAGCAGAATCCTGGTTACTAGGAGATAGAGGGTGGGGGTAGGGGGAAGATGTTAGTCAAATGATAAGCCTTATAAGAATTAATACATTCTTTGGCCAATATAATACATACGTTTTAGAGCACTATCGTATAGCATAGTGACTACAGGTAAAAATAATGATGAGGTATGCTTTACATTAAAATTTGCTAAGAGAGCAGTAGATGTCCTGTGTTACCCCCTCATGTAGCCATGGTAGTGGATGGAGCACCTTAAAAATATGAGAGAGAGAGAGAGAGAGAGAGAGAGAGAGAGAGAGAGAGAGAGAGCTTCTAATGAGGGCTTAGCAGAGGCCTTTAGAACAGGTGAATATAAATATTGAAGAGGACACCAGCATTTTATTAACAACTAGATATAAAATTATCTGAAATATGTTGCATGTGCACGAAGTTATATAAGATCAAATTGAAATAAAGTAAAGCAAAAATATTGCACATATTAAAACCACTGTCAATTGAGTTCCACCTGTGTTCCAGGCACTATGTATATATCATCTTTCATATTATCAGTAATATAGGCACTGTTGTCGTCGTGTAGAGAAAGGAGATTGCTAAAAGAATTTGGCTTGAGTTAATTGCATTTTCTAGTCTCCTTTTGAAGGTCCAAAATGCCAGAACACATCTTATCTGCCTGCTGTATCAGGTAAGATGTCTGCTCCTGTGGCTCTGGGCCCTGACTCAGAGGAAGTCGTGGCAACATCTGCCTGCTTTGGGGCTGGTGCGGTCTGTTGTGAGAGGCTCAGGGATCAGGTATAAATCATTTACAGTCCCTGGATCAACATTTGGGAGACTGACAGTTTTGTAGCAGGAAAATAAACGTTGGGGCTGCCTCTTAAGATAAGTAAATTGCTGGAGAATAAAGCTCAAATCAGATTCATAGCAATATTCATAAAATAAACAGAACACTTCAAAGTAATGTAAAACATCCAAATGACTTCTTCTATTTAGCCTGACGTGAGGGTGAGATTGTGGCTGGCATGCAGCATCCTTTGCCTGGCCAG